AAGTCTCTTAGAGTTTCATCTTAGTGATAAAGGCTACACAACACTTTGATAAAGTGCAATGGTTTAACCACTGATAGTTATGTTCCACTTTGGAACATTTTGCTGTTAATTTTCTATTGTACTTCCGTCCTGTGGGTCTTGTACAGTTATGCCTTTTATCCCATCATACAATATTGAACATAATTGAACTATAGAAGTTTTGCATTATCTATTGTCGACTGTTGCCCCCTTTTCGCTGATCACATCATCATTTCTTCGGAACTCCGCAGCAGATTTTTGATGCATTATTATGTTGGACACCCGAGTATAAACCGAATGAAGGCTCCAACAAGAAGTTACTTTTGTTGGCCCGGTATGGATAAACAATTAGAGCGCATGTACCGAAGATGTTTTAACTGTGCCATCGCCCAAAATCTATCCAAGCGACACCCGGCAGAACTCTGGCCAAAACCAGGGAGACCGTGGGTGCGTCTCCATATTGATTTTGCTGGACCAATTAACGGACAGTTTCCAAGTCGTGGTCAATGCGTACAACAAGCGGGCAGACATTTTATCATGGGTTCAACCACTGTACCTGCATCGATTGCGATGTTATGGCATCTGTGTATGCTTTTTTTCCGGAGACAATCGTGTCCGACAACGGTACGCAGATGCGGAATCACACACATTAAAGCGCCTACTTTACATCCATAATCAAATGGACTGGTCGAGGGATTTGTCGACAATCTTAAGCAAGCGCTACTGAAATCCGGAGGGGAAGGAATGACAGCGGAAATACTGGATACATTCTTACTGAACTGCAAAGTAGCAAACTTCGAACTTGTGTTCTCCCACCGAAGCTTTGCTGAACGGGCAAGTACGTCAAGCACATGATAGTATCCGACGAGGTTCGGGCAAACCGTCAATTGTAACACAAGAACAACGTACTTTGAGACTAGGAGATCGTTTGTTAATAAGAGATTATCGCAGTGGTCATCAAAAGTGGGCTGTCGTCTTTATTACAAGACGTATTGAGTGTGCCTTGTACGACGTCCAAGTGGGTCCGTTGCTGTGGAGGCTCCACACTGAAAAATGAACAGTGAATTTATGAGGGTTAGTAATAGTTGCTTTGCAAGTCCCGTTGGATAACTGATGGGGCGATCGAAATAACAGTAGCCGGTCTGACGTCACACGGAAAATACCGTGCATTTACACACGTTGAAATGCAGTAAATTTGGCTTGAACATTGATCTGCTATATCTAGGTCACACTGCAGCAGATGCTGGTCGGCGTTCGACTGGATACTGCGCCAAATCTTTATATCGTCGGCAAAAATCAGAACTTTGAAGTGATTTCCTGTGCAAGGTCATTAATATACAGCAAAAACAAACCTGGACTTAAAACTGAGCCTTGCGGCACACCATACTCGACTTGTATGGGGTCCGATAAAGAGCTCCGAATTCTGACCTCAAATTGCCTTTGAAGCAGAAAGTTGGAAAACCAGTATAAAAGAGGGTCGCCGATCCTGTACTGCTGGAGCTTGGAGAATAGTATCCGATGGTCTAGACGATCTAAAGGCTTCGAAAAATCCAGCTAGATCACACCAAGGCCAACTCCAGCATCAGCTGACTCGGTCCAACTACTGTGTGCGATTAGTAAATTCGTGCGTAAGCGCTGTCAACGGAAGCCATGCTACAAAGTTATGATGATGTTGCTCTTTTCCAGCTAATACACCAGTGCATCGGCAAGTACAGATCCCATGAACTTAGAGAGTATAGGGAGAAGAAATACTTGGCGGTAGTTGGTGCTCTCAGTTCTGCTTTCACATAGAAGAAACTTGGTTCTGGTCTAAGCAGCGCTGAAAAACCGAGCTAAAGGTGCTGCCAGTTGGCTTGCTGCTGCTTCTAGTGACTCTGGAAAAATGTTATCCACAACCGGCAAGCTGTGTTTGTGTAGAGACGTCAGCTTATGCAATACAGCCTCCGAGGTAAAAGTACCGTTTGTTAGTCCAGGCGGAGAAACGACAGAGGTTGGAACATCATTTGGTGGCATAACCCTCTGAAACGTGGGGACGAATTGCATCTGCAGCGCGTTTGTTGCTTCCACTGCCGTTTATGTTGGAACATCAGGCGTCCTGCTTGGAGGAAATCCTTGTCACACCTTTCTTAGGCTATTGACATGCTGGTACACAGGTGTGTGGTCAGCACTGATGGTTTTTGCGTTGTTCCACGGACATGCGGATTTGTCTTCTCCTATCAGTTGAGCGCTTTGCTTATGTTGACCCATGATTTTTGGCGCTGTAGCTTCTCTGTACATTTGACATGCAGCTTTGCCTACTGTCATCCATTTTCGAGTTCTGCTTCTAACAAAAGAAGCTGAGTTACGCTTATCGCGAACTCTTATCTCTGAAGCCTCTGCAATCAGCGGACTGAATTTGTTGACGAACTCGTGCCAGGCGACTTCCGGGGGTTCTTCGTCAAGGAGCCACCAACTTGTGGCGCTGACGAACGGGGCTAATCAATCGTAGCTTGTAATGGTTCGTAAAGTCTAACGTTTTCATCCCGGTATTCCGCATATCAGACGAAGTCGTAACTGCTGGCTGCGTGATCACTGCGACTCAACGGGTAGTCTAAAACCAACACATCAATCATATGCTCCTCGTTGGTAAGCATAAGTTACATCGCAGGTGGCCAGTTACCTGTTCTGAACCGAGTAGGTAAAGTGTTGTGGTTAGAATGAGGAAGAGTGGTTACTAGATCATGTAGATCGGCTTTGAATTGTTTCCGATCGTGGCACGTGTTTCTAAACAATGTACGTTGAAATCGTCCATGATAATTATGTGAGTGTACCATTGCTGTAAACTGCATGTTAAATCAGCCGCTAGTTGGCAGTCGGTTTCAGGCGTAGAATTAGGTGGCGGTACAACAAGACAATAAGGCAAGCGTCCCTGCTCTTTAGCGGCAAGCGGCACCAAAGACAGTCGGGTAACAGCGAGTCTGAATCCGCCACGGCTTCCGCTGTAAGTCACTTCAATAATACAAGATTACCCCTCCTATTTTGTGAGCCTATCCTTCCGGACTTGCGCCATGCCCGGGAGCGTAAATTCAGTATTCGTCATTCCTGTGTGCAACCACGTCTCGATGCTATTATTGATACATATGACCCGGAATTATGACGATCTTTCAGTTTGTACATTTTATGGAAAGACCGTGAGCATTCAAATGCAAGCAGGCCAGTTTTTCGGCTCTAGAAGCCAACAGTAGGCTAAAGGGGTCAAGTGTAGGACAATGCTGACCGAGGGAATTCGTTAATTACTTATTAACTCCGTCGAACGTTTTGTCGTGAACCACAAAGTGGCGATGGATTGTTTAGTCTTGATATTCTATTGAATACATTCAAAATAGAAAAGCCTACTGAAGCCAGAACGGCATGTAATCTAGCCCCAACGACAGATAACATGTCCCAACATAGAGAAAAACCTGGCCGTACGCGTAAGGGAGTCACTTCGTGGGAGCTTGACCCAAGCCAAAAATCGTACATCAAACAGCTTAAGGGGGAAGTTGATAGGAGCGTAAGGGTTCCCTACCTCAAACCAGCGGAGCACGTGGATGGCGTTCACACAACCAGCTGTCCCAAATACCCGAATTAGCTAAGTCCTAAGTCATGCGGTTGATGCCTAAAGCACCGGAAGGATATTGAAATACAGACAAGGGTTGATTTGAATCAGGGCTCATGATCAAATGCACATTCGGCTAGTGCATGTTTACTGTGTAAATGCTTTCACCCGCGTTGGTTCAAGTTCTGTTCTCAGAATAAACGCCGGTTTTGCGCCTGATTGCCCTGCTCGTTCTTCCTTGTTGAGGATTGGTCTACACTCTACTCTAGCGGTGTGCGACACAACGTGATGCATTGTAGGATGAGCATCAAACTTTGTGTATGGTTCCCTAAAATCTTAATAAATGGAGAATAGATGTTGAAGAATATTTTGCTCATTTAAGTTGCGGATAATGACGCGTTACTCAACTGCGTTACCGTCATCTCTCTCTTCGCCTTCATCCCGATCCTTTTCGGCTACGACGACTGAAATACAATCTTGTTCTCATATTAGACAATACAAATAAACTGGACTTTGCAATCTTCAGTGCTCGTGAATTCCGAAAAACCTTTATCTATCTCACCAGTGATTAGGGATTTCTCCTACCCTTACAATATGTCAGTTTTAAAATAGCTTGACCTTCAGCAGTTTATATACAGATCTGTGGAACAAACTACCAATAGAGGTACGCGCAACGGGAAATGACATTTAGTAGCCTTTCTCCCTACATTGAGGTTGCTGAAGAATTTTGATTCTGCAATCCTTAGACACACTAACAGAAGCTGGTCTGACGCACATACGATTTACTATGACTCTACACTCAACTTTCTTTATGATGATTATTCTCCACCTTCAACACGCAGCAAGTTTCTAACAAAGGGAACAGGCAGGCCTACAAGATGAACAAGTTGCAATCAATCAGGGCGCATATCTACGTAATCAGTAACACGTTAACTTGGTTATACAGACGAGGATGAGAAAAAATAACAGGATTATCGCCCATAATGTATTGAGTTACGGGAAATTTGGGGCTATATCGGTGTAATAACACTCCTACCTGAAGTTCAGACATCGGTTTGCTAAAACTGTACAACGATTTTTATCAATACTTCTGTCTTGAGTTACAGATCTCATACACTGACCATACAATTAAGAACCATTGTTTTTGAGCTGTAGTGCAGGCTGTAAGAATGCTCACTACTAATTCGTCCCCAGTCCTATCAAACTAACGTGAATACATCGGGAAATGTCAGTACTTCAATAATGCGCAGCAGGCATGATTACAATCTTTAACGTGATCCGGTTGGTACAAGTCCACTAAAGGTAACCTGCCAGATTTTTCTTTTGCTCGTATAGTTCGATGCCAAGACAAAATGCTCTCTGCTGGTGTAATTCTGTTTTAATTACAACCGTTTTTCTCACACAGATAAAAATCAACCTGGAAGATGTTGAAGCGATGATTCAGAAGGTAGGTATACTCTGTTGAAACCCGTTTTCATGTCTAGAAAGAACCTAGATAAAATCCTCAACAACGAATTCTACACCCAGGAAAAGGCACCTCAACTGGCGAGGACATTGATTGAAACCTGTCTAGATAGTCTGGTAAAGATGGGTAAACCTTATAAGTATGTTGGTAAGTCATGAAATGTTGCACTCCTCCAAACGATAAGGAATATTCTCTTGATTTCAAACAAGGGGAGCAATACAAGATTTGAGGCTTAGCATCAAACCATACCCTCAAGATAACATTTGTCAGTTACTTCCGATGCTCGTAAAGACTGATTTTTATGCAACTACTGTGGACCACCGGTACAGTCTCAACCGTATGACAGAAAGGGATACGTCTGACCTTGGTGGGTATGTGCACCAGCGCTGGTGATAGGCATTTCGCATTGCAATGTGCCACAGTAAAATTTCTGAAAGAATTGTTGTGATGCGCTTATAAATTCAGTAACGTGGTGACTAGGCTCTTTGGCGTAAAGGAACAGTGCAAGGAGAAAGTTAATTGAATATGAGCGAAGAGATCGTTAAGAAAATATTAAAAAGAATGAAGCCGAGTAGTTGATCTGACTCAGCAAAATTCCCACACTTCATCTTCCAATTAGATTAGTGCCAGTTGAGCAAGTTTCGCCATGTTTGAACAAAAGAATCTGGGTGTAATCAGCCCTCCATTAGATCTCTGTTTGTTTTCGTAGATAACAACAACGAATCAGGTCACCAACCCATGTATCTAACGCATCCACTCATAAAATGCATTCGATTCTGTAAGAGGTGGATATGAGCTGTTCCAAATGCAAGCTGACAAGTAGTTTGGTGCATGCTGCAAAGAGTTATTTTCCGTTATGGGACGGGCCAGATTACCCTCACCGAATCTTCTAACTTCAGGTGAAATCACGATGGGGGTTAGGCGTTTGCGATTCCATCCAGCTAAACAATATGTGGACAAAGATCAAGCTCCAACCCAGTCACTAAATCATTAGGTCATAGTAACTCCAAATTTATCTTACCCAGCTGCACGCCGCTTCAAATTCGCACTTAAGTGTCCCAGCTTTAACCATTGTAACAAAGCTAAATTAAGGATTAAACTATAGAATGATAAATTCCATAGGATTTTCTAGATAAATTACATAAGCTCCAAGATAAGCTTCACAAACCAAGTAGATTGCGTCTGCAACATGGGATTATGGCCACGATAACACATGCGAATCCGTCCACCACCATACATTGGAGGTTGGCGAGCGCAATTTTTGTCTGCCTTTAGTCATCGCACGATGAACGCGGATCATATCATTTGGAGTACATGGTGCATTGCTTCTTAGTGTCCTTTTCCTAAATCCAGTTAACGTGGACTTAGAACTAACATTCCTCGGAAAATATTTCACTGCTAAGAAAGTGAACGGGAAAAAGTTCAGCAACGTTACATAGGCATCTTCAGCTGTTGTTTCCTTAGTCTGGCTCTGTGCTCACTTTTCAGGGGCGCTGATAGACATGAGTGGGGATTTTACAAAACCTGATAGTGCAGGATGAAGTCGACCTGTAGAAGATGATTCGATCTACTGTGCACTTCCAGTGCTTTCAGACGCAATCGGTAGGGCAGATCGAACAGTCCCATAACAGTCTCGGTTGTTCTTCGCTGGAAAATATCCAGTGCAGCCGGGTGGATTTCCTGCCGGGGTTGTCTGGGCTGAATTGTGTACTGCACAGGGGTGACACGAGCGCATTGCAACGTAAATTTTGGATCAACATAATGGTTCCTGTTTCTGGATATTATTTGCCTCGAGCAACTCACGTAAGCTAGATCACTACACCAAGGTCGATCACCTGTGGGACATTTTGTAAGGTGTGTACTCCGAGCATATATTAGCTATGCTGATGACGGCGTGCAAGACCCACCTTTGCATTCACTTCCGCTGCACCAAGCGTTGCTCGCGGATCTCAGTGGCATAGTGCATATGGCGTCAACAATGAGCCACTAGGCTCTGAGTTCCAGCAAAACTCAGGCTATCTCCAACTGATGAGTCACAACCAGGACGAAACCGCGGTCTTGGGGTGTCAGTGGTGGGATGAGCAACATCATAGTATTGTTACTTACGGTCTTTATGATCGGAATGACCGAGGTCCACCTCAAGTGAATCGAGGTCTCAATAGAGGTTGCTTGTAGCAACCCAATCACCAGCGCATTCTACAAGTCCACCTTTGAATAACCACTTTCATTGGCGTTAAACGGGAATAGACCGTCCAAAAGCACCGTCCAACTACTGCTACATCAAGTCGTGATCAGCCTGAATACCGGCAACAATTACCTGGCGTAAGTGTAAGCTCACGCAAGCACTACTGAAATCCTAGCGCCCCACCTTTGTTGTGTCGCACTTATGAGGCATTTTAAATCACCTAAAAAGCGATACAAGTATAATAGCATAAACGCTCACATCAACTGCCACAGCATACCTTCTGTAAGTTAGGCTGCGTTTGAAAAATCATAGTGTTTTAATACTACATTTGTCTATCTAACGAACTTAACCTCCGTAAATCCCCATTTGTTACATTGCAGTGAATTGTACAGTGGTTCAGAAGTGTGGTGGAGGCTTATTCCACGGAAGCTCTTGCTACTGGGACACTGCCAGGGACAGTGAGTTGGTTGAGCAAATGAGTCTAAAACACATGTCACTTTGTTTGCGGTAACGTACGCTTTTCCATCACTGGCGGTTTGACAAAACTACAAGACATTCATTCGACCTTGTGGTTCCCAGACTTCGGACGTTCGATACAGTGTGTAGAGTACAAAGCACGGTGCGAGTGTATTAGACACGTACATTTGAGCGCATCAAACAATATGAACAAATAATAGAAAAGAAATGCAAATCCGGCTGACCTATACCAATAGCATTAATCTCTCTCTTTGGATTATTAAATGCACAATATTGGAATTCTCGGTGAATTGAAAAAGGCCAACCTACCCCGTGACCAAATATAAAGTTCTAATGAGGACGGAAGCAAAGTCTATCACAAGATTCAATTACTAAGTTGTGTAAGAGCATATTCCTCCTTCAGCATATTTTTCAGGCGTGTAGGAAGCCCTGTTTATTCAACTATACAACCAAATAGCAGTATAACGAAAGGCAAACTTTGACTAAGCAAGGCAATTGATTACTGGATCAAGTCATTAACTAGCGACATTTGATGAAAGAAAAAATGCAGTGGTTCCTGTCCCCGGTTTAACTTAATATATTGCCAGTTTGGGTTTAGATATGACGAGGTCTGGTGCACCGCATATTGTCTGCTTAAGCAGCTAAGCTTTCTTTAGAGTCTGACTTCAAGAAATGACTTCGTCACTTACAGGAAGTTCATTCGAATGGAAACTGGTTGGTGCTCAGACCGCTGACTATTAACACCAAAAATTTCACGCTTGATAACTGTTTAGTCCATTACTGCTAGTTTAAAAGCGATATTCTCACTAAAACAATCGTTGCAGAGTGTATACGTTTCGTTAGTGCTTGAATTAGGAGAATGTTGGTTCCCAAATTTCCATCAATCCACCAACTCCCAAGTTAGAAGCAAATGTTTATCTTCCTGTACAATCCAGTTGATCCATAGATATTGCACATCACCACAATATCCATTCAGTATGATTATTAATGAAATATTGTGTAGACTCAATACTCATGCTAATATGAAGAATCTGTGAAGTAATATGCTTATGATGGGGTAGAGCATTATAACTCATTGTGTAGTCTGTATTTCGTTGGTGTTTAAAAGTTAAAAAAGTGGAGACTTTAATTGATGCCTTTCGAATAAATCAAACCGAAAGAACTGGTGGACAAACACACAGGGAGATAAACGTAATGATAAAAAATTGGTTTATCATTGGCTGAACTTCTCACGTATGGCACACTCCATAGAATAGAAAAGTGGATTATTGAAGGAAAGAGCAGCATCCATCAAAAAAGAAGCCTTGGTAGAGGCATCAGAACCTTAAACTGAGCACATGGCTCGTCTATGTTACGTTGAGTATTGGATAGTAAGAGCTATATAGTGTTATGTAGATGCGTGAGTGTATTGTTGCAGATTGTTTTGAAAACAGTCACTGTGCGGCAAGAAGCAGTGTAAGTGCAGGTGAGTTCCAAGTTTGACAAACGCGAAGTGAAAAGAAATTGCAGCAGTATTCTAACCGGACATACTGTATGCCCAGTTTTATATAATGACCCCTCAGAGTGGTATTGGGATTCAGCTTCAGAAGGTGGTGGTAAACACGATTTGGGTTCTTGGGGACCAAATATGTCATTCTTAAATCTCCGTGCAGGTGTCGACACTGTCCAATTTAAACCCAAATGGTTTTCAGTGTCAGTTGATATGGGAAATTAAACAAATCTTTTAGGTTTTGGACGATCAACGTTGTACCAGTTAAGGTGCGGCGAAATCGTGCCTATGCTATGGCTGCCAAACGTGAATGTCGTATTCTGAATGTGGCCTAATATAAACTTTGAGCTTCTGAGGGAAGAATGAAGGGTCAAAATGACCGAAGTTTCTTTGTAAACGGCCAAGAAGTTCTCAACTTTTTGGACCCGTGAACTCAACTCCACACTTGAAAGTTGGTTAGCCTTACATATTAAGATCGATATTACCAAAGGCTGCGCGGGGTTCTCATATTAGTCTACAAAATACTGAGTGACTAAGCACGTATGCCGCCACTTGGTGAGGCTCATTCATAACACCAATCTCAGAGGTAACCCTCTGAAATTGTGTGCACAGCATGGCCGGCTGGAATGCCAGGGGGATTATTTTTGTCTTCGGGGTTGCCAACTCTGGAACTCTTTCCTAAAATTCCTCCTTTCCTCCCCCACCATGGATAAGATCAGAAAGTTATTGGATCTTGTCCTCGACCCCCATCACTTCGTCGCCTAAACTGTGCAACTTTGTAATATATTAATTTTCCTTCCAAACCGGATTAACATGTTACATAAACTTGAGGAGGCGGTCCAGAATTGAGCATTCTCGGTTTTACTTTTCTCACGGAGTACATCTAATATAACTTTCCCCATGTTGCCTCATCGTTCGCATACAATTGCACCTACATTACTATTATTCAGCAGCATATTGGCTAGATAAACGCTTAAACGGACAACCCACCTATCATCTGATAATGGTAGTTAGGCCCCACAATCTTGCGGAAGTTATCAAGCACTTGTATTTTTACCCAGCATAAATTAGTGTTTAATGTTTACAGTGCTTACGCAGAGTTGGCATCACAGAGCATGTCCACTTTTTCGTAATGACGGTTTTTTATGCGAGGAATGTAGGCTAAGTCTGCGTTACCTCAGACTGCGCGAGTGATGCTAATTGTGAAAATATCAGTCAAGCCCATTGTCTTGCCTGGTGGGTGCATGCACACCTTGAGTCCAAGCATATACCTTGATGTTGACTATAACAGCCATGTATTTTGGAGATCCTATCCGAGAGTGGTAGTCAATGTGTAGAAAAGTATAGTCATCATCTACTACTTTGTGAATACAGGGCATTTCGGAAAGGTGGTTGAACGGTTTAACAAGCTCCTCAGTGCTCTATACTTCATATTCAACGGATTTACTAACACACACACTTTTCGGCACTGTATGAAAGCGCTTGTTTAATTGCGCTGAGATTTTGCTTTTGTTAGGGCTGTCAGTCGTTTATGGCTTAGTCCGTAGGCATTGAGCATGTAACAGAATATGGATGGGTCGAATTTCCCGTATGCCCTCCGCGTAGGTTAAGGTGTTAGTTGTCTTTTTGGATGCTTCCTTAGCCTAACGTAAAGATCCACTTGTACTATCTCACTTAGGTCCCATTCCGTAGAAGCGCGCTGCAAAAATTTGATCCCACGAGCTACGCATGCAAGCGAACTGACAGGACATGCTTAAATCCTGCATCTGGTGGAGTTGGAACTAGCCTGGATCTGAGTTGCTCACTCATATACCGAGTCAACTGGGTTCTGCAATGCTACGTTTTTACCAGTCGAATTGGAGCCATATCTTGAGATCATTAGCAATGAGCAAGTGATAGGAGGTAATCATTCCCGCGAGATGATGCACGTAAATTGGGAATAGGCGTGGACAGCTTACTGAGTCTTGTATCACTCCTTACTGAATTTCGATAGGGTCAGAGATGGTGCCGCGAACACTCATAACTATATTTCGTTGGAATGGTAGGTTACCTATTCAACCGATGACCGGATGCGATGGAGATGATTCGGTGTTGCTTCTCACAACGCTGACATAACGTGACGTGTCTGTTGCTGTTTGTGCTGTTTTACATGGTGTGTGGGGCAGAAAATTTTCCCTGCACTTTACAGAGTTTATTAGCGTGTCTGTAAAGACACTTGGGAGTTGAACGGAGTTTCGCGGTTAGATAATGCCAACGTTTTTTACTACCACGCTGCATGTCCACTTCATTATTCCGCTGGAATATGTATCTTTCCTACGTTTTGGCACCGGGTGACTCCCTGTACTTTGGCCAGTATAGTTTTCTAATTACCATACACTTCGCGTATTACTGCATAGGAATGGCTTTGCTCTCATTGCAAGTGCAGTCTCTTCCTCGAAGCTCTGGTTACTATTTTGTTGAACTAACAGATAAAATTGCAACAGGCGACCGCGGAGGATAGTTCAGTGAAACTGTGATTAGTTGGTAGCATTGGTAAGTGCAGACAAAACGTCATAATCTGTACTGAGCTGAGAACCATCACCACTTCCTTTGGAAAACTTTGCACAACATATAGTGTTGAAAGGTTGTGTTGCATGATCGACGAGGCCCGAAAGGCTATATATATATATATATATATATATATCATAAGCTGCTGGTTGGTGAACGTGAGGTTCTTGACAGCTGGTTCGTTTCCCGTCCTGGTTCTTACGGAGTCAGGAACAGGGTTGTATATTCGTAATCCAAATCTTAACCGCTATAATGCAATTTTGTATGGTTACTTAAACATGGCTGCGATGCTTAGAGCGTCAAGTTCAAAGTCACCGTTCAGGAGAACGGGACTACGTGACTGGGTAATATAAGTCCTCATAGTTGATGCTGGGCGATTGTATATTACTGTATTAGACCACAGAGGGCGGCGGCGCACACTAAACGTGTTCGTCGCGTCTGCTTTGAAGACATACCAACGCATCTCGACAATGTGCACTTCCGAGTAGTCAATGAGATTAATATATAGCACGCTGAGGTAGTGGAGTACTGCCCACCTCAACTGGTTCTATCTTTGCGCAGCATAGACATCCCAGGTGGTACGATTTCGGTGAGAGTGAACGCTTCACTTATCCATATCTCGGTTACCATGATGAGGTTCCACGGCATGTAGGGCTGAAACAGTCGCAGCTCTGTCAGTTTGTCGGTAAGGCCTTGTGTGTTGGTGTAAAACAAGTGTCTTTTACGTTAAGAGATTGCTGGTAGGTGTATCCAGCAGATGTGAGATGTTGCCAGCACTCATGAATTCAGTTGATCTTCGAGTTTTCTTCGAAACGTAGTCGGGACACATTGCTGAAACACAAACTCCGGACAACAATGACCTTGTTGTTCCGTGGTATCCTGCTGTGTCCCTGTTGAACAACGTCAGCTGTCCCATCCGCTGGTCGCATAGTAAAGATGCTCTCC